TAATCCATACATTTTAATCCAAAATAACCGTGACGGAAAAGGGCTTCGCTTCTGGTAACCTATTTTCGACCAATGGCACATATTAAACTTTGACACACCATCAACCACTAATCTTTATTTCACCAAAATGCATATGAAGACCAGTTTCACCCAAAAAAATTAATAATAAATTATATGCTAAAAATTAAATAAATCACAGCTAGAGAGAACGAGAAAAATCCAAAAAAAATACCAGAATCAGGGTAATGTATAAGCATCGTAACTTACCTTTAGCCATGGGAACCAAACTTTATCCTCACACGAAAAAGTTTTAGTCACCTCGCACCACCTGAACCCTGAAGTTCTTTTTATGAGTGCCACACTCATGTAGTTCTTCCTCCAGACCTATATTTTTGAGCTGATGTGTGGGTCATCTCGAAGGTTACATTCGAGAAACTTCGCCTTCAATCTTTTCTCTATCTCAAAATTGTAGCCTTGCCTAAAGCCATTATCTGCCTTCCAACCCTCGAGAATCAAGTCCTTCAAAATATCTATCAGAGCACGCTCCTCACGCGGACTCCAAACACGTCGTCTTGTTGTGTTGGAGGAGGAAGCTCGGCCACTTTCTTGGGAACAAGAGTAATCCATCAATATACCTGTTCAAACAAGAGTTTTACACGAGAGGATTGGGTTGTATTGTTAAGATAAATATTGCATAATAAACATAATGATCAAATGGGAAATGAATGCTTAAAAGGAATTCCAAACACATTCCATTAAATGTAAAAACAATATTCATTTCACTAGGTAACACGAATTCAAAAACGAACACGCACAACAAAATAAATAAGTATGAGAAAAATATCACACAAGCAATTGTCGAAACAAAGTAGACAACTGAACGACTATCTTCAAACAAGAGTTCTTAAACTAAATCATATTATCCTGCCAATCACGAAACATATCTTGTGCCAATCGGTCACGAAACTCTGTCCATTCTACGCTACCCTCCACCTGGTCTATCGAATCATCCTCACTCGTAGTTGTGGGGACTCCATCATCTGGTATCTCAGGAACTACCGCTTCCATGGGATCAGTGGCCATTGATGTACATATGAAATCGTGAATGAGCGCGCATGCCATGATAATGTAATTTTGGGTTCAAATGGAATAATATGAGCAACTCCTAAGAATTGCCTACCGCATCTTTAGAATGCCAAACGCACGTTCTATTACATTTCTAGCCTTAGCATGACGAAGGTTGTACAGTTCTCTAAAGTTTTGTGGCCTTCGTGAAGGTATCTGACGCCCCTATATGGTGCTAAATCCCGAGACCATTTGTGTACCCACCATCCACCAAGTAATAATTTCTTGTGTCACAATTTCATTTATAATAAATAATTAAATTCTTGTGTTATGTTCAATTCAAAAAGAAGGTTGTTATGTTAAATTTGAAAAGAAGGTTGGATGGTGTTTAGGTAATAAAATCATTCTATACCGTTTGGAACACGTAGACCATGCGTCCTAGTAACTGCATCACGCAAGACGCGACTATCTGCAGCTGACCCCTCCCATCCACATAGCATGTAGATGAAGTTCATATTTTTATCGCAGACCCCAAGTACATTGACAGATATATTACCCTTGCGGGTTCTATATCGTGCCTTGTCCGGCAAAGGGACTCGCACGTCAATGTACGTTCCATCTAGTGCTCCTAGACATCCCTAAGGAAAGATAAGTACCAAACAATTGTTAGTTCGAGATAATTCAACTAACAAATTTGTAACACGTGTGAAATGTGGTGTAGGTTACCTTAAACTATTTCTACCTTTCATCGACACAATCTGCCTCAACTGCCTGCGGTTTCACACGCAGGATGGAGTGAAGTCGGATGACAGTGTCAAGAACATGATTAAAGTATTTGCTTATTGTTCGACCGGATCTTACAAAATCAAGCTTTAATGTGACGTTCTTCTTATGATGGGCCAGGACTGAGAGAAAAATTGCAACTTGTTCGTTTGGTGGAACATTTCTAGATTGTCTGAGTCCCCCAATAGTTTCGAGAAGGTGACAAAGACGGCCAAAGGAGTTACAATCCATACGGAGGTTCTCGACACAAGTTGTGTCACTCACGTCTATCAACCTTCGCATGTAAGTGATCTGATGGGGGAGTCTATCACTAGCTCGATATAACAGGACGTGCTCACTGGACGCACGTCCACGTCTTCGCCTAGGGTGGATGAATTTAATATAGTAATAAATAGATAGTAGCAAAAAAAATTTAATACTACTAATGACCTCTTCCGATAAGGTAACAATAGGTAATTCCTCTGCAACAGAATCCATCTACAAATTTGGATCAACAAACCTCATTATACAAAAGGTGAACATGGATTTCATGTTAAGACAATGAATACTCTAAAAGCTAACAACAAGAAATAATCTTTTCATCCTCATAAACAAATATACAGAACATATTTGCCAAAACAGATACAATTTACGACCAACAAGCAAATGCTAAATCTAAAAAAAAAAGTGAATAATCCTCAAATTATCAGAATGACTCAACTAACTAGAATCACTCAATTAACCAGAAACTGAATAGGTGTTGAAAAAAAAAAAGATCATTGTTTCTTTCATCTGCAACCTAATACCAGTCCAAAGTGAAACAAACAGAAGAAAAAAATAAATAAATAAGAAAAAACAAATCAAAACAAAATCACATATATTATCTAAATTTTAAATGCATTAGATTGATGTTAGAGCTCAGATTTACTATGGAGCACGAATCTGGCTTGGCTTCATCTTTTAGCTAGTATGATGTTAGAGCTGTTAAAGGCTTCATCTTGTTGACTACTTAGCAAGACTTTTAGCTAGTATGACTACAAAGATGTAGGCAGCATTCATATTCAATTACAACGAAGATAGCATGCAGAAGCTGAAAAAAAGAGTATAAAAAAAAATTGAGTAAAATGTCCAAGCAAGTGATCCTAGTATGAGATCTTATAGTCTTCTCAATTGTGCAGGCAAGTTGAGTAAAACATCAGATAATTTCTCAATTATATAGAGTCTTCTTGCAACTATAAGCGATTGATCTATTTGCCAAAAGCAGCCATGCATACTTATTCCCGTTTCACAAAACTTTCAACTGGAAACAGAACTACAAGCCTTTCAATCCTATACAGTCGAAAAATTCCTAGAAAGATTTGGAGATCGGAAAGAAACTAAGTAATAAGGGAAGGCAATATGTCAGATTAATTTGAAAAACTCTAAGAAAAATCATTATATCCAATGAAAGAGCCTTCAGAATTGAAGTTGTAATGATTTGAGATCCTTAATCAGATACTAATCAGGCAAAAACATTCAATCAGAAAGGGATTATTGCTGATTAATGCTATTTGGAGATAACCAAATTATAACTAGAGCAGAATAACAAACCAACTTATCATCAAATCACGAGCAAACCAAAACCAGAAATAAGAGTTGCATAAGAGACTTTAATTTGATCACAGAAAAGAAAGGGAAAAACGATTCAGAATGCTGCAGATGGATTTCGAGCATTTTTATCATGCAGCAATAGAATCAAATATCTCTTGAAAAGAAAAATAGAACAAGCTAATAAACTTCCTGAAGCATCTTCATAGAGTGTTGTTCCTACAGAGATAATAAACGTCAGAATGACACAACTAACAAGCATACTTATTCCCGTTTCACAAAACTTTCAACTAGAAACAGAACACGAGTTCAATAACATATGATAAACCTTATTTATCATAAAAACCATTGAAATACCAGACTTCCATGCACATTTCATGTTAAGACAATGAATAAAACTTCTCAAACCAAATACACAGTTACCTATCAATGCACTACACTTCAAAAAACGAACCCAAACTATTTCACGAACTAACCAACATAAAAGAAGCCCTAGCAGATTGAACTGTGACATGTATATATCAATGTTTAACAAATAAATTTAAATTAAATGAAATCGTCTGCAAACATATAGGCGTTTGAATGGGAAAAAATTATGGAAGAAAAAGGAAAAAATGAACCACAAATGAGCAGATTGAACTGATATATAGCAATGTTTAACAAAGAAAATTAAATTAACTGAATCAGAACTCGTATATAAACATACCGGCGTCCGACAATAGCACAAAAAAATCAATGGAAGAAAAAAATAATTGAAGCGTAAATTAGCAGATTCATGACCTCGAATTTGGATTGGAGTATTTGTTGTCGCGATCCGTCGAACAAGAACAAGCAATTGCAACGACACCTGCGAGTTCACAAGAGGAGCAATTACAAGAAATTCAGAAAAATCAACTCAAATTCAAAGCAGAAGCAGAAGATTGGGCATTTACGGAGGAGCTGCTAGGGTTATGTTAGTATCGACTTCGAGCAGATAGAACCAATTATCGTAAGATTTTTTTCTTTTATAAATACTAGATATGTAAATTTGGTGACATTGAGGGGTATAATGGTAATTTTGCTGCCTATTTTTTGGACAAAGTTGGAATATGAAAGAGCGGATTAAAAAATCCGGCCAAACTGAGCGGATTGAATTAACCTCACACGTCATTTAAATGTCATTGGACCCACCTGCCAGCTATTTGACACATCATTTTTTTCTTATCACTAACTTGCCTAGTAAACGAATGATTAGGTTGATTAACCGACCTAATCCAATCCTATCTCTGCTAATAAATGACACCTTAATATATGCGTCCCATGCATCGGGCTATGTGATATAAGAAGCAATAAGGGGTAGTAAATTTCTCAATGTTCTAGAGACTGCGATTTGTTTTGGGCCCTCTCGATAGGTCCATCAAATAGAGCCCAAAATATTCACGGAATCGATCTCAACTACTGCTACTATAAAATAGGGCCCAGCTCATTTCCCGTTCTACAATTAGACCGAAAGGTCCGAAACCCACCACACACTGTCACCACCACGCGGCGTTACAGGCTTCTCCGACGCGAATACCATCACGCGCCGCCATCCGAGCAGTGGATAGATGTCGAAGACTCTGGTGCAGCCTGTCGGCCAGAAAAGGCTGACGAACGTGGCGGTCGTCCGCCTGAAGAAACACGGAAACCGCTTTGAGATCGCCTGCTACAAGAACAAAGTCCTCTCATGGCGCTCGCGCGTGTATGTGTAGTTGTATACATCTCTTTCTCTGTATTTCATTCTTCTTTTAGCGTCGACCGTTGATTTCTGTCGTCTTGTTGAGAGTTGCATCCTTTGAACGTGTACTAGGGATTTTGCAATGCAGCGTAGGGTTACAGTTCAAAATACGACCTAATTGTTTGAAGAACTAGCATGGAGATGTTTCTAACATAGTCATAGACATATAGAACTCTCTAGGATAAGGAAATGAAGGTGATGTTTGAGTGGTTGGAGCTGAAAGTGTAGATTTTATTGCAGGGAGATGTTTGTGCTCTGGGACTTTGGATGGTTTTTGTGAATTTTGTTGAAGATTCTGAGATACTGATAGTATTAGCATATTTTCAATGCAGAGAGAAAGATTTGGATGAAGTTTTGCAGTCTCATACTGTCTATTCCAATGTTTCGAAAGGTGTTCTTGCCAAGTCGAAGGATTTGATTGCAGCATTTGGGACAGACGATCAGACTAAAATATGTTTGGAGGTTGTGTATTCATGTTCCGTTTGTTACTTTCTGCAATTTCGTAAAGTACATTTGCTGTATTGTTCTTCCTATCCAGGAAATTTTTAATTGGTACTCATATTTGACGTTGAACAATGTGATCCATGTAATTTGATGGAAGTGATTGGCAGTGTCAAAAAAAAGCTCACAGTTACATTTCTACAGTCTGGAGTATGCCTTCAGTTGATGTTTATCGGTTTAGTATTAATATATTTCAAATGTCATTGTGTAGCTGTTGAGAAAATTCGGGTTCTCAAGAGAGTGGAGGTGGTGCATGTATTAAATGTTGACTATGTTAATGTTTCAGATTTTGGAGAAAGGAGAGCTACAAGTTGCAGGGAAGGAGAGGGAGTCGCAATTGTCGAGTCAATTTAGGGATATTGCAACCATAGTTATGCAGAAAACTATCAACCCTGAAACACAGAGACCCTATACCATCAGCATGATCGAGCGACTAATGCATGATATCCATTTCGCGGTTGAACCAAATAGCAGCTCAAAGAAACAGGTGAGTTAATGTGTACTGGTTTTCTGAATTTATCTTGATTTTGAAAGCTCCTCCACTGTGTCCCCCTGTCTGGACTGTCTGCTGATACTTATTTTCTGACAGCATGCTCAAGTTTTGTCCATTTATTAGTGGATTAGTTTTGCCAACTCAATCCTTTTTCAGCTTCGACACTGAGAATATATATATATATGTATATATATATATATATATATATATATATATGCAATTGTATATTGGTTTTCCACATTTTGAAGGTTAGGTCCAATCTGAAACGGGTGTTTCAAACTGATTGCAGTATTATATTGCTAATAATGCAAGGTCTGAACATTTTACAGGCATTAGAAGTCATCCGCGAGCTTCAGAAGCACTTTCCCATCAAGAGGTCTCCTATGAGATTGAGATTAACTGTACCTGGAGAGAACATCTCATCTCTTGTTGAAAAGCTCAACAGTTGGAACGCTACTAATATTTCTAGAGAAGAATCTGGAAGCAAGCTATCTGTTGTAAGTCGCGACTTAACTTTGTATTCCTTGGTAGGCCTACAGCTTGTAATTTCTTTTCCATACTTAAAAGTTTAGCAGACTATGGCTCCTTACTAACAGTGTCTTACTTGGAAGCTTGTCACATTTTTTCCCTCTACATGTCAATGACGCATGTTGCTCTCCTTGAAAGTTGGTTAACATTTATAGTTTTTAAACCACAAATGACATTTAGTTCGTCGAAGAAACACTTCATCTGCAGGGGCGAAACCAGAAAAATAGTTGGGNGGGGGGGGGGGAGGCGGCAAAAGACATGACATAATGGGTTCAGAACCGATACCGAACTCGAACTGATAACATTTTGTAACTGATTTTTAGTTATCCTTACACATAAGTCGGTTCGGTTAATTGGTTTATTTCTCATCGGTTCGGTTGGATTTTTGATTTTCCGACAAAAGATACCAGCCCTAGCCTGGGCAAAAGAGAGTTCAAGTCTTTTATATGGGTCAATTAAAATTGTAGAAGGATAAAACAAAATTAACAATAAAATAAAATAGTGTTGAATTGTTAATTGACAATTGTGGACAAATTAGTCTAGTGAATGACATTTAAAACCAAAAATCAGGGGGTGCAAAAATAAATTCAAAGGGGGGCATATTAAAATTTGTAATACTAACTAGTACAACACCCGTGATTAATGAGAAAAAGTAGTTTGAAAATTTAAATACCTTTTATAAGAATATATATATATATTATTATATATTTATTATGACACTTTTTATTTGTGTAACTTACCTGTGTTATATTTTACTATTTTTTTTAAATTACAATATATAACTACATTACATATAAATATATCAATTGAGAAATAATTTTATTTTCCTAATGAATTTTTATAAATATTATTATTTTTTATTATTATAAAGATAAATATAATTTATTTA